TCTTAAAAACCTATAAACGGCAAATTATGCGTTTTCTACTCTTTAGAGACGCTGAATAGGACTTTCTATATAAACAGGAATGAATAGGATTTCTATATAAATTAAATCTCTATTAGTCCTCCAGAATCTATAGATGTCAGATAATTCAAGACAAAAATAGGATTAGAACAAACAAAGATATTGTCCGTAAGTTTTTGTTATAAGTTTTGGAATGTATTGTATTCGTTTGGTTTAATGGGAGAATTGGTTTTCTAATAAAAGATTCTCCTATTGGGCAAAATGGATGCATTCTTAAACTCACATAAAAAATTATGGACAAGCTTCTTGTGTTCACGGCCGTTCATAGTAATAAAGATCCGATAGGTGAAGTATACATCAGGATTAATAAAAATATATGGAAATAATAATAAATATATGGAAATAAAAATATATGGTTGCAACAACTTTATAATCAAAAAACAAATTTACATGATTTTAAGTTTATATGATTTCAATGTTAAATAAATATTACATTAAAAATTGCTTTTGTTATATGCCCATCTATGCAATTTTTACGGCTATATTTCTTATTATAAGCAATTAATAAGTTCAATTAATATATCCTTATATATAGTTGCTTCAGCTAAAAAAATTATTTTTGTATCTCTGTTATGATCCAGAACGAATACTATGATTGAGTGAATAATCTGCTTACACAATGCACTGAGACTTTTCACTCAAACACTTATAGACAACCAACAAAGAACGCCACTGACTGACGTAATCTTTTAATGCTGTAATCTTTTAATGAAATCATACATATGTGTGAAAAAACGTTGCGATTAATAGTTATGGATAAAGCTTATGAGCTTTTTTATAGAGCATTGGGTTTCTATGAATATGACATTTCCAATATAATAAAAATAATTTAAACAATAAACAAAATGCAGTATGCCAACAGATCGGCAACAGATTCTATTATGATATTGTGACAGATCCATAGCCATCTATGTTCACATTAAGCTCGTCTTTTGTCGACAAAGTCTACTGACATAACTTGTCAGTGATAGAAATCGAGTAGAATCTGCATTAAGCTTATTCTGAAATCAGTTTCGAGAACTTTAATTTTAGTTATAAGGTTGGTAGGCTTTAAGCTAACTTAGGTACGTTTCGTAATTGATCAGCTGATCAATTACGAAATGTATCTAATTATCAAAATAATAAGTAAAAAATTTATTCACTTCTTTATCTGATATTACGAAATTAACTAAAACTAAGTTTGTCAACAGAAATAGTACATAGCTGTGAACGTCCAAGCGCATAATCAACTGATCAATTACGGAACCAATTACCAAACCAAGCCTACCAACTAAAACCAAAATTCCTGAAACCGATTTCGGAACAAGTCTATTAATATCCGAACATTTACTAAATTAAATTATTAGATGTTTTTAGCTCATATTCTGAACTCTCTTTCATTACTAAAAATGATTCTATAGATGGCTTATAACCAATCAGGAGGTTTATAGGAGCCGCTTTTATAGTCACTTTTAATGAAAAACGAGAATTCAAAATATAAGTTTTTGGCTAAACGCATTCATTTCCACATATCATGATTTATCTATATACCATGATATTTACAATGACTTTTAATCATCTGAGGAATCAGCAACATTCCAAAGCAGCTGTGATAGCTTGACAATTTGAGGTTCAGTTTGCGTAAAATAACATTTTGTTCGTTTTGATTAAAGATAGACGTTATTTCGTTATCTAGTATTGAGTTATTAAGAAGTAATGTTAGTAACGGTGATCAAATTTGAAAAATAACGATTAATGAACTAAACGGTTATTTCCATAAAATTATATATTACAAGAACAATAAAACATTTAGAATTCCGATCAATTGTTTAGACCGAGTCTACAATAAGTGTAGTAAACTCTAAGGGAGGATTCACACCTGAGCAGAAAAACAAAAAGCAGAAAGGCAGCATCTAATCAGAAGTCCCGCTGATGGTCTCTCTCTTCTATCTTTCTCTCAAGAGAGAGACAGACTATCAGCGCGACTTCTGATTGGATGCTACCTTTCTGTCAAGGTGTGAATCCATCCTAAACTATAAGGCTGAGTCTACAATAGTAAACTTTAAGCCGTAAGAGAACCGACCAACTACAGTCGAATATGAGAATAATAATCAATTGTGATTGATCAATTTCTTACGATTTAAAGCTTATTACATTCATTATAAACCCGTCTTAAGAAATCAACTAATTACAGTCAATTATTTTTCTCATATTCGACTGCAGTTGGTGAATTTTTTAAGGCTTAAAAGCCAGTTTAACTATTTAATTTAATCGACTGATTAAACGTTTTCATTGGAACTGACCAATAAACAACAGTAATTAAATAGATACGATTGGTCAATTTTAAGAAAATAACCAGTTGCGCGCGATTATATTAAAAGAATATCATGCAAATAGCTCTAACAATATTAGAATAAATTGTTAGTAACCATTTAACCGAATAACTGTTTAAATAATGAGTTATTTTAAAATAACAGCAACCGTTATAACTATTTAGTAAAAATAACTGTTTAGTCCAATCCTAGTTCTGATATTATCTGCACATTATCAGTAAAAAAATTATATAATTCAGATAATTAACAATCATAATAAATATGTATGTAGAAACAAATGTGTCTGACTGAAAATGTCTGGTAGTTCTCGATCCAATATATATTTTGGCATTAATAAAGCTGTATATAGCATTTAAATATTAGATGTATAAATTAATTCAGTGTCGTCAGTTTTTTAATAAAATTGAATGTTAATTCATAGAAAAATATTCTCAAAATATTCGCCATTATTTTCGATGACTTTCCTCCACCTTCTGACGAATTCTAAATTCCAAAGAATCTCGAAAAAAAAGATGACAGTTTTGAATCGATAAATTCGTCAATGTGTGTAATTTTATCGATCTGCACTGTTTTGAAGCGCGTATTAATCAGCTGATGTTAGAATGACCGAAACAAGTGATAATCCGATGGGGATAAATCTAACGAATACACATAAGGAAGAATTTCCCAAGCCAATAAACAAATAACATCTTTTGTTCCTTTCACGACATGTAGCCGAGCGTTATCATGTGTCGTCTCCGAAACCTTTAATACAAACTTTTTTACAAGTTTTATGCGTCGCAGCATCTTTTTCCAAAGCTGAACAAATTACGTATATATTCGCGACTTTGGCAGCATTTCTAATCATTTGAAACGTGAAAAAAGTACAATGTCTAATACATTGTTTTTCGGACACCATAGTATATATTACTGTTTTGTGAGGTTATGTCGTTTGCTTTGCCAAAATATAGTATTTCTTGTGCGTTTAAGTTGGCACACTTTCTGCCATCAATCTGTTGTCGTAGCTCTACTTGTAGATCTTTCTTCTGTATTTCTGTTACCGAACTGCTGACGAAATTTAGAACAGTTATGTAGCAGACAGATACTGCCCAAAATCTGCTACTGCAGGTGGCTATCTGGATTAACTTTATTGGTTTAAATTGCTTTTACTGGATACATCTTCAAAATATATATATTATAGGTCAACACTTTTAAATATTCTGAATTCTATAACAGTGAAAATAATTTTTATTTTGTATCATCAATATCTCAATCTACTTTGCCAAAATATATAATTTTGTTGTTTAAGTGTTAATGTTGGCATTTTTAAATCTCAAGACGACAGGGAAATATTTAAATTTAAAACAGGGTCATAGTTGATTAAATGTAAAGGCACCGAATTAATTTGTATACATCTATATTTATTCTTTTCTTTATTTTTGTATTGTCAATATCTCACTCTAGATTCTATAACAGTGAAAATAATTTTTATTTTATATTATCAATATCTAATGCAAATGCAGTTTCAATTCCTGTAGATATATTTTCAATGTACAAATGTAATATTCATATAACGATTATCCTCATTGAGGTTTGAACAACCCAAGTACTTCCAAGGCACTATAATTTCTACAAACTTTATATATATATATATATAGGCAAAAAAATAATATTTTGTTGCAGCAACCATATTTAGCCAAGTGATATCCTTAATGTTTTCTTCGTGCATATCAATATGGTTCACTCGAGTAGAAAAAGAATACGATGAAATATATATATATATTAATTTCGACAATATCAATACAGCGGAGCAGAGAATAATTGACTTTCACGCGTATAGAACGAACTTTGAATGCGTTATCCTTGAATCTCACGCATAAACGGAATAATCGCACGTCGATTATATTAGTCGAAATAAACACCTGACGGCGACTGGGAGAACTTGTAATTTGGCGCCAAGTCTAAATTTTATTCTAATCCACGCGCGAATAATCGAACTCCCGCTACGAATTCTTTCACGTGTAGCCCGGAGAAACATCCGATCACGCCTGAATGTGCCCATCGTCAGCGATTTAAGAAAAATTCGAAGATTTGTTATCAACATGAAGAAACAAAACGTGAAGTAACGAAAGCGTGCTTCGAGCAAGACGTGCTAATCAAAAGGAAAAGGTGAAGATAGGAAAGAGAAAAAGAGAGAGAGAGAGAGAGAGAGAGAGAGAGAGAATGAGAGATAAAGAGAGAACACGATTACGCCAACAATCTCGATAGATCCCGCTTTTATCAACTACGGTCAAATAATAATTATACTACTACTCCTGCTACTATTTTTACAATATACATGTTGCTTCCTCGACATTTCTCTGGCCAATTCGACTCGAGAGGCGTTATCTCGATATTCGGATGTTAATGCAGAAATGCAGTAACAACCGTGCACTCGACTGTCGTTGTCGGCGCAATCCCAAACAAGTATGTGAGTCTCGAGCGGAAAGAAAAAACCAGAAGAAAAGAAAACGAAAGAGGCCGAGGAGCTGCGTGTGTTTGTTAGATCTCTCATCTGACGACGACCTCGAGAGGCGGTCGACGTTTTGCGGGCATTAACTAGAGTCTTAAGTGAAAGTGAGTACATCATACGTCATGTCACCATAGCCCACGGTCGTCATCGTGACAACGGCCCACCAGAACGCGTCCGGAATAGACTTGAAGAACGAATTCTCGGAGCCGGCCTCCGCGAAGTATACCGCCGACGAGAATAGCACCACACCTGCAATGCAAGGAAGAAAACACCGGTTCAGTGGGTTTAACGCCCCCGGTGGCTCTGTACCTCATGTCGCCGTAGCCCACGGTCGTCATCGTGACCACCGCCCACCAGAACGCGTCCGGTATCGATTTGAAGAAGCTGTCCTGCGTGCCGGCCTCCGCGAAGTAGACCGCCGACGAGAACAGCACCACACCTGCAACGCACACAAGAGGAAGGTACGGGTCAAGACGGTCGTACGTCATCGTCCACGCGGCGTATCCACGTCGTCGGTCCCGCGGACGCGGCACCCCGACTACCGCTACTAGGATCGTCTCTCATCGCACCACGGCCAAGTATCGCCCGCCCCCCCGGCCGGCAGGCCGATCGATCGTTTGCTCGCTCGCTCGCTCGCTTGCACCCGGAACATCCACGTGTCGCAGGCACCTTGTCCCAGGATCGATCAGGATCATTACGATGATCGAATGTGACCACCCTGGCTGATCGCGTCCGTCACCAGTTTACGAGCAGCAAGGTCCCAAACTATCGTCATCGTCGTACCCGATGATGCACTGTCGACCCAAAAATCAGCGAAGTCGTCCTAGAACTCGGGATCGGACGATGCAAACTGCTCCCAGAGAGAATCTATGGCTCCTAGCGGCCTTCTAATGATAAAAAAGAGACTTCGTAGCGCTCCTGCGATCCTGTCGTCGCTCTATCGTCATTGGCATACGGTGTATCAATAGCGAAAAGTCTTTCAGCAAGTCTTCTGCCGTCGAGGACTCCAGCCGTCGGCCGTGGAAGGCTCTATCCTTCAGAGAATCGAGGAAGTTAAGCGCGTGGGCGAGCTTGCACAGTAGAATCCTATTTGGACGAGTGATTTAGGTGAGAGTGTATTGGCATTATTTATAAAATGTCATTGCGAGTTCGATCAAGGTTATTTTACTGTGCAATATCTTCCCCTCGATCTGCATGTATCGCCGTCCGACTTCTTACAATTCTTGAACGACGTTATCTCGTGACAGAAGCATACTAACGTGACTGACCAATTATAGAGACATTAATGAAATAATAATAATAAAGATAACCGAAGTGTCGGAAATGCTCCTTTCCTGCGACACAGCGTCAGCGAGAGTTATAATTGGTACGGCGACAACATTCGATCGACCTTGGCGACAGATATGATCAAAGTAAGAAATACACTTGTAAGATATATACACAAAATCACAGCTGTCGTTGCCCCTTAAACTCGCTTTCACAGGCGGCACCTCCAACAAAAACGCAGATAAAGCTATTTACATTCTAATCCTCTGCTTTCCGTCCCATTTGCACCCCTCGTAGCTGAGCCCCTTTCGAAAGCCATTGTGCTGCGAACGATCAGCGAAGAGAAGATTTTGGCTTTCGAAAGTTTCCGACTGCTTGATAGACGAACGACGCCATAAATCTCGTTCGCTCGTTCCTTTTTACAACGATGAGTATTCGAGCGAAGAGAGAGAGAGAGAGAGAGAGAGAGAGAGAGAGAGAGAGACGATTACCAAGCGTCAAAGCTCCTGAAACGACGTTTCGTGTGTCTCCCCGAGGTCGGCGAGAAGGAAAACATCCAGGAAATTACTGATTTAAAAGCGACTTCCTGCGAAAACAACCGCGCCGGTGGTTTATCTTTGATATCAATAAATCGCATGTACGCTGGTCAACCTATTTTCCAGCTTCGAGGGGGATAAAAGGGTTAAACAAGCGTTTCTACGTCGGCTTTTGCTCATTTAGTTTCGTCGCGCGACGTCGAGGCTTTATACGCCGAATACGCCTTTGTCACTTTGCACAAATTTGTCTGACCACTTATCTCTCTCACTCGGTTGAAAGGATTCCCGCATACCAAGATAGAAAAATTGTTAAATTTTGCGCTATCCCGGAATTAGGGTATTTCCAGCACACGAGAGAGAAAGAAAGAAAGAGAGAGATAGAAAAAGAGAAACTAAACCAGATACCCGCAAGAATCCAAAGAAAATATAAATTTTCAGACGATAAAACATTTCCAGCCATTCGCGACTTCGTCGTCCATGATAATTCCAAGGTCCTCGACGAAACAGTTTCAAACTCTCCGACATTTACATACAGTATCTGTTACATAATGCAAAGCGAAGCAGGGAAAGCTCGAAATCTTCGCAGCACCGATTTTTGTTAAACGAGACTTTACTCTCTTCGCCGCGTCGTTCGTCTATACACCTGTCCTCTTTTCCATTCTGTTCATTTCATATGATCCTCCCATCTTTCTTTGAATTTATCATAGACAGTAAAACAACAATCATCAAATTATATCTCATGCCTACATCCAGGGTAGTTTTTTTAAACAATGTGTTTTAAACTGGATATACAGCTTCATTTTAACAGTGAAGGCTCGGAGGCAGAGTCGGAACTTATCTAAATAAATATATCTAAACATATATCTATTAGGTGTATGTAAGAGTCTAGTCTTTAGTCTTTTTCTTTAAAAACCTTTGGCTTTATTTTCGCACACGCACACATTACATACACCAAAAAAATATCTAAAAAGTAAGGAATATTTATTCCGTGAATACCAATAACATATTTTCTTATATTAAAATACATATTTTTGCGCTGAATCAATGTACATTTTTTCAAGTGAAAAAATGTACATTTTCTTAAAACTGTAAATATTCATGAAAGAATTCATGAATATTCATTTCATTTAAATAAAGAAATTTTAATGGAAATGAATATGTTGTTAACATGAACATGTTACTAAAAATTCTTTTTATTTTCTAGATATTTTTTTCTTTCCAGTGTATAAAAATTACATAATTATCGATATATTTTCCGATATTGTCTATGACCTTCTGTCACTTTTCAGTCAATTTTCTAATCTAGTCGCAAAAAAATAATGACGGCGTAAAAGTGAGAAATTTACCGATCCATTTTTTAACTTCGGAGCGTCACATCTCGAAAATGCTGTCCAGCCGAAGTATTTTACACTGATCGAAATAAATCTGAAAATATCAAATCTGCGGGGAAATTTCCCGACCAAAGTTGAAGATTATTTCTTGAGTCGTAAAAGCAACATATGGCTTAGCGTTATTACATAGCAAATCGACCTTCTGGCTTCTTTGTCCAATAAAATAATCTTTCCTCTTCGATCTTTCCAGTCAAAAAATTTAATAAGAGTAGCGCTTCGCATAATCTAATAATAATATCTAATACATCGTTGCATCCAGTTGAAGACTCATAATAGAACATACCCATCATATCTCATCAAATATCACAACATATCTCATTGAAAAACTTTCTTAGAATGGGTGCTTAATTTAGTCATTAATGCCAATGATTAATTAAAATCTATTTATGCATGTTTCGTTTAAGACTGTTATATATAATTCACACTTTTTGCCATCAGTTTTTCATAAAAAAGGTTTTTTCGTCATTTGACAGACAATAAAGTGCATATATTGAGTTGCCGGACTATATGTTATTTTCAGAAAGTTCATGCGACACCTGCTTTCTGAATTTCAGGATTTTTCTCATCTTATTCAATCGCCTGGAAATTGTTGCTCGATCAATTCTAAATTGTTCCACGAATTCGTTTTACAACTACAATACATTTTCGTTCAATAATTTTGACAAATCATCATGCGCTTTTGCAATTTCTACACCTTTCCTAGAATATAGTCGATCATTAGCCTAAAAGAATATCGTTTTTAAAACGTCTAAACCAATATTTGCAAATACACGGTCTGTCTAAAAAATTCTCAAATTTTTTTCTGAACGTACAAGTATATCCATCGGTTAAACTAAACAGACAACAGTAACTATCAGATAATCTTTCTACCTTCTAAACTTTGCAGCCAATTATCGTCAGTCTACATTAAAGGAGAATAATGTGAAGTTTATACGTTTCTCTGTCTGCATGTAAAATGGAAGAAGAAGCTGCGATAAAATTCTATGTAAAACTAGATATATACTAACCGACTGTAAAACGTCAAAGTGCTGAATGGCCGAGTCCTTTTTGTACAAAAGGTCCGGCAAGCCAAATCAAAAGTGAAGACAATGTTCATTATATTCTTCGATTATAAGGGTATTATTCATCGAGAATTGGTCCCATTTGGGACCACAGTCAGCTCGAATATCTATTTGAAAGTCTTACAGCTCTTTAAACGAATGCCGTGAGTGCGATTTGTATACGAGAAGGAATTCTTTCCTACTACATAATAACGCACTGTATCACACAGTCGGCATTGTCACTCAATATTTGGCGAAATTAAACATATCCGTGATTCATCATCCTCCTTATTTGCAAATTTTAGCCCCTGCAGATTTTCTTCCGAAATTCAAGTTGACAATGAGGAGGAAACACTACCCCGACGATATATAATTACTGATTTTCTAAGGAAGGTTTCAGAAGCAAATTTGCAAAACAGCTTTCAATAACGCTACAGAAACATTCTCAACGGTATATTAACACGTCCGAGGACTACGTAGAAAGTTTTCATTAAATTAATCTCTACCATTTCACCTTTGAATTTTTTATAACAATAGTTTATAAGAACGTTTTAAACAGACCATGCATTGTGTGAGACACAATCCTTCACCAAGAACAGCATAAATCGATTCGCATGCTTTTGCGGATTTTTCTCTTTCTTGGAATGTGGCGTTTCATACAAAATGCAGTCTCAAATACGAGTGTATAACTTTCTGTAGTTCATCTTGTTCACGACTGATTCGTGAAGTTGTATTTATTATTATTATTTTATAGCGTTATATGTGGTATATTTCGAAGGCCTAATGGTTATACTTCAAAAGAGCGAGAAAATATCTTAATTTTGAATAGTTCTTCTAAAGAGGTGAAGAAAGACTAAAATTTGCATACACCTAATAGATACAAAATGAATTGTTTGATATTTAAAGGATATTTAAAGGATTATATAATAGCACGATTCGTTTAATCTAAAAAATTATTTACCATCTATCTGATTTCTCGCAGGAGAAAGATTCATATCAAATAAAATATATGCTGTTATTCTACTATCTACTATCTAATGGGATAGTACGGCTATATTATATAAAATCTCAGAAATCTATGTCATAATAATAAATAAATAAAGTACATTTCACCTCCACCACCATCTGCATTTGTGGAATATTTTTAACATTGCTAAGCAAATTCTTATTCCTCGTCATAACTGATGAACTTGTAAATTTAAAAAAAAAAATATTCTTCTTAAGAGCAAAAACATAAATGCTTAAAAATATAAATAGTTGAAAGACGAGAAACAGTAAAATAATAATTTTCCCTTCCAGTATATAAGAAAAACCAATTTTATCTGAAAGTTATAAACTTTTAATTATTCTATATTTGGTCCTCCATCCAATAAAATATTCACATTATATCATAAATTTAACTTTATATAATTATCAAAAGGAGACTATTCTAAAAGATTTGACACATCAATCGGAGAATCATATTATTTTTATATTATTCTATGTTTCTGAAAATATTTTCTTGCGCTAAACATGAAAATCATATATATATACAGAGTGTTCTAAGATATTCCTCACACCTGAAGCATGAAAAAATGTTATGTGGACGTAGGTGCGGAAATGCTTATTTCAGGAGTTACCAGGTGTGTCGGTAATTCCTTTCCGGTTTTTTCGCTAAAGAAAACACGTTATTTACAATGGATAGTTAAAATATATTTATTCAAAGTATTGGCCATTTGATTCTATACATTTTGCCCATCTCTCAGGCAATTTATGAATGCCATTCCAAACGAACTGTTTCTCCTTTGAGCTAAACCATTCATCGAGCCATTTTTTAACTTCTTCGAAATCGGCGAAGTACTGCTCTGCAAGCGCGTGCCCCATCGATGCGAAAAGGTGGTAGTCGAATGGAGCCAGGTCTGGAGAGTACGGCGGGTGCAATAAAACTTCCCATCCAAGTGATTTCAAGTGACTTCTTTGACTAGTTTTGCAGTATGAGGCGGCGCGTTGTCATGCTGCAAAATCACCTTATCATGTCTTTGAGCGTATTGTGGACGTTTTTCGATCAATGCACAGTTCAAATTGATCATTTGTTGTTGGTAGCGATCAGTATTAACTGTTTCTCCAGGTTTCAACAGTTCATAATATACGACACCAACCTGGTCCCACCAGACACAGAGCATGGTCTTGCGACCAAAGCGATTTGGCCTTGCAGTCGATGAGCCGCCTTCGCCAGGTGATAACCATGATTTTTTTCGCTTGGGATTTTCGAAATAAATCCATTTTTCATCACCCGTTACTATTCGATGCAGAAATGACTTCCTTTCATACCTTTGAAACAGCATTTCACTGACGATTTTCCGATTTTCCAATTGCCTGTCATTCAATTCATGTGGCACCCATCTTCCCATCTTTTGGATCTTTCCCATCGCTTGTAATCATTCACAAATTGCTACTCGGCTCACATTCAACTTTTCTGCCAATTGTTTTTGAGTTTGTGTTGGGTCTTCATCCAATAACTCCTGCAATTCCGCATCTTCAAACGTTTTCGGCCTACCAGGACGTTTTTTGTCTTAAAAGTTGAAATCACCACATTTGAATTGTCGAAACCACGTTTCACATGTTCTTATGGTTGGAGCATGCTCACCGTAAGTCTCTACCAGCAAACGATGACTTTCAGCGGCTTTTTTCTTTTGATTAAACAATAAAAGTAATGAGTGCCGCAAATGCACGTTTTCAGGCACAAAACTCGACATTTTCAAAAAATTATTAATCTATAACGCTGTTATTTTGGCGGAACGTAAGTTTTGAGGTTAATGTCAGTAGAATAAAATGACATATGTATCAAATCATAACATTGCATACTTATGGCTAGTGACATCTGTTACAAAAACCGGAAAGTAATTACCGACATACCTGGTATGTTGAAAATACTGTTAGCTGTATTACTTACACAAGGAAAAATTTACACAAGGAAAGATTAATTATTGTAGACGACAATCGTTTAATTAGGCTTATTTACATTTGGTTTTAATGTGACTTTGAGTTAGTTACAATAAACTCGCTATTCGCCTGAATACAAGCAGTGACACGTCGACGCATTGATTCACGGACACGTTCAAAAATGCCCATCTCTGGTAAACTGTGCCTTATTCATAAACACCAATCAGAATAATATTGACCTTTAATGTTATGGTTATTTGTTTACACCTAGACAATAGTCGTGATTTTCTCAATCAAACTTACGGTGATCAATGGATAGTAAGAGGTGGACCTATGTACTTTGTGGCCTCCACGTTCCCCGGATCTCAATCCGATAGACTTTTATTTATGAGGACATTTAAAGGCAATCGTATATGCTACAACAGTGAGTGATATTCAAGATCTTCGTGACCGTATCACTGCAGGTTGCGAGACAATCCGCTGTACGCCAGGCATTTTTGGACATGTCCGTGAATCAACGCGTCGACGTGTCACTGCTTGTATTCAGGCGAATGGCGAACATTTTCAATATTTATTGTAACTAACTCAAGGTCACATTAAAACCAAATGTAAATAAGCCTAATTAAACGATTGTCGTCTATAATAATTAATCCTAAATTTTTCCTTGTGTAAATAATACAGCTAACAGTATTTTCAACATAACTCCTGAAATAAGCATTACCGCACCTACGTCCATATAACATTTTTTCATCCTTCAGGTGTGAGGAATATCTCCTTAAATTTTTAACATATCTTTTTAAAACACCCTGTATATATATATATATATATATATATGATAATTTTTTAATTCCATAAGACGAATAATTAACAATTTAAAACAACATAAAAAATTATCTAAAACTTCATGTATAAAATTCACAAAATTATTCAACGTATTAAATTAAATATTCTCATCTTGTTAAGAAGGAGGGAATACAATTTTAATTTTTGTTATTCACACATAAAAATAATATAATCCTCAAGTGTTATAAAGAGCATATCTTTAGGCATTCGCTTCTTGGATCAAAATGGTTAGAATACGATGGAATTAGCTCATTCCTGTTTATAGTACAGAAAAAATAAAGAAAACTGAAAAAATAAATATAGAAAAATTTATCCTTATCTAGATGATACAAATATATCTCAAATCCGCATCCAAACTTATCGTTTATATAAGATAGAGAAAAATTTGTTTAGCTAAATAAAAAATTTCATTTTCTTAATTATGCCTTTATCTAAAAAAGATATGTTTATTTTCTTATCAATCTACTTATCCAGATAAGCAATATTAATTGTATCTTATCTAGATAAAATAAAAAGTTTTATCTACCCCAACACTGCGCTCTCGGAAGTATCTGAGTACAGAGAGAAGTACCTAAAGGTTTACAAGCGTCATGAACATATATTGTATCTACATTTATAATAAGAATAAGCGACAAATATTTATTACTATCCCTAATCCTTTGATGAAGGACATCACCAAACTCACCGATGAAGAGGAAAAAGATGAGCAGGCCGAGTTCCCTCATGGAGGCCTTGAGGGTCCGCCCAAGGATTTGGAGGCCTTTACTATGCCTGGACAGCTTGAATATCCGGAACACTCTGACCAGCCTGATCACCCTGAGTATCGCCAGGGACATCGCTTGGTTCGTGCTCTTGTCCTGCGGGCTTACCGGCCCCTTGGGTAGGTTCAACGTGTCCTCCTCCTCGGCCACCACCGTGGCGAGGGTGATGAAGTACGGAATGATCGCGATGATGTCAATGATGTTCATTACGTCACGGAAGAAGTTGAATTTGTTTGGGCAGGCGAGGAAGCGCACCGATAACTCGAACGTGAACCAGATGATACAAATAGTCTCTATTAGGAAGAACGGGTCCGTGATGTCCGGCACTTCGTCCTCCTCGATCTTCGTGCCGTTCGTCGTCGTGTTGAAGACCTTGTAGTGCTTGAACTCGGGCAACGTCTCCAGGCAGAAGATCACGATCGACAGGAGGATCACGAACACGGAGATTATGGCGACCACCCGAGCGCCCTGCGAGCTCTCCGGGTACTCGAACAACAGCCAGACCTTCCTCTGGAACTCGTGCGTCGGCAACGGCTTCTCCTCCTCCTTGATGAAGCCCTCGTCCTCCCTGTTTAAGCGGTTAGTCGCTGCTTCGTTAATCCGGCAACGGCTACACTTCTCTTAAGCCTTCTACACACGCATACTCGTCTCTCATAATTGTAATACGGGGTACATGTTTGTTAGGTCGAGAGTTTCCCTGTTTGAGAGGTGCGCTTCTACGAGAGCGGGAGGGATGGGAACAGCGTTGTTGTTGGGTGTCGAAGCAGTTTGCACCCGAAGAAGCAAGAAATCACGGTGAAGAATGTTTGGGCACGAGACCTGTCTAAGTTAATCAAGGAATCCGTACATGGAAGCGTCGAGACTCTGTAATCGGGAAGTTCGTGGAGAGAGCTAATCTCAACGCGCTTACACCGAGTGCTACGATACCGGCTAGACAATAGGCCATGCTAGGTGTCCGCTGAGGACCAGATAGTACCACGTTCGTACCTGAACTTGTTGGTAGCCATCTCGCCCAGCTCGTAAAATTTGATCTCCTCGGAGAAGACATCGAGCGGGACGTTGACCGGGCGGCGTAGGCGGCCGCCGCTCTGATAGTAGTAGAGTATGGCATCGAAGGAGGGTCGATTCCGATCGAAGAAATATTCGTTGCGTAGCGGATCGAAGTATCGGAGCCGCCGTGTCGGATCGCCAAGCAGCGTGTCCGGAAACTGATTTAACGTACGCAGCTGTGTCTCAAACCGTAGCCCGCTCACCTGTCGATCGTAGCAATCGATTATTGGCACGGTGGCGCCGTGCTCTGCTGGGCGGGGCGCGCTGCTCAAGCGGCTAATTGGGGCGGGGGTGGTTGTAGGGGTGCCCGTCACAAAGGAACTAACGTATTATCGGATAAGTATTATCGTAGATTATCACGTCGATCGAGTGGGTCGCCCACCCGCCCAACGTTATTAACTTATGCTGAGTGGTGCAGCAATTTCAAGCTTTTGGCGTTTCGGAAAAAAAGAAAGAAGTCCGCGAGCCTCCCCTACCCGACTCGAGTCCGAGATTAATGGAATCGACAAATTCGCGAGACGATTCGCGGAACGATAAACTCATGGCATAGGGAGGATCCGCGAAACTACATATCCAAGAATGTATAATTGGCAGGATGGCGTGGAATCGACAATCCCACTACCGAGAAACTGCAGAATCCGGAATTTGCGGAAACGCAGATACGAATTAACGGACTCTGTCGAAATTCGCAGAAGCTCGATATCGCGGATTCGGACGAATCGCGGTGCTTCCTGGTGCCAAAGCAAACGACGAAACCAATTTCCTCTTCGTACGCTCGAGCTGTCGCGTCGTCGTTTTACATTTCTTTGCGCGTAAAATCTCCACGTCTGTTCTCACCTCGGTAATAACGACTCGGTTCGCAATGTCGTAAGAGCAGAACACACGGGCTTTTATTCTCGACGAAACGATAAACAGACGAGTGCGAGGGGAGAGAATGAGAGAAATGAGACAAACAGAAAACAAGAGCGGAAGGCATAATACCGGCGACGGATTATTTCCACTCATGCATTCTCTTTTTCTTCTCCCCCCTCCTTCTCTCTCTCTCTCTCTCTCTCTCTCTCTCTCTCTCTCTCTCTCTCTCTCTCTCTTGCTCACTCACTACCAAGTCGTGTATGAAACTGCGCTCGGGAGTCAACGAGTGAGAGAAACGTATTCACGCAACTCATCCATCGTGAAAGCAAGACGCGATACCGTGAATCAACCCTCCCCGTCGCGTTGTGTTCTCTCATTCGCAACGTGCGGCTCGTAGATCCGTTAAAAACGATAAAACACGACGATAAGACGTTCAATTTACAATCGCGTCCCAATGTTCTTAACATTTCGCCTTTAACCGGTCAACACACATATTAAATCTCCGATTGTGTGCGCGTCGCACATCGATTCCACGACACCCACACGTTCCACCCGCCCACGCATCGAGCGGCGTGCTTTGACCCCTTCTGCTTTTTCGAGCTTACCGGCGAAGGGCAGGTGGGAAGAGCGAAAAAAAGAGGCGTAAAACGCATCGATCGAACCGATTGCTGTAATTGGCGCAATGCAGTCGTGTCATCCGCGAGGACAGATAATTCCGTTCACACAATACGACCTTGGCGCTATATCGCCCCCGATTCCAAGACGAACTTGGATGGCCGCCAAAACGCAGCCTGTAGGTCACTTCTCATGTCTTGAGATAATCTCGCCTCGTCCGAAAAGAAAGAGAGAGAGAGAGAGAGAGAGAGAGAACGCGCGTGCGATTACCCATGCCGGACTGGAGTTTGTTTACGCGCGAATGCATCGCGGAGAGTGATCCTGAACGCGCTCGATGAAAGAATCGCCGTTCACGGCCGGAACGGCGAAGCCGCTGTCGGAGCGAGTGAAGATCGAAGAACGATTTTTAAAGGGAGAGTTATATTTCAGGATAATAATATTTCACTCCATCCTCTCCGCCTCCTTCTCTTCTTTGGAGCGCGTGGAATCGAGGATTTACGGCAGCGAGAGGGTTCGAGAGATTAAGGATTCGCGGCGCCAAGGTTCTAAGAAAGACGAAACTTTTTGAAGATCGGGGATCCCACGTTCCAAGAATCTTTGCGACGCCAAGGATCGCGAGCAGCCAAGATTCTTCGTCGAGTCGCGCGCGCTCTTCTCTCGGGAATTTTTTAATCTAAATAATACAAGAGGAGAAAAGAGATATCATTCGCGAAAATCGCGCGTCACCGTTAAAAGCCGCGTTCGAGAGTGTCCTTCCCGGACGGAGTAGACCGTATTCTGAACACATAGCGAACGCGAAATATATCCTCCGATCCTGCATCCTTGGGATGAGCAAGTTTACGCGTGACGTTCATGTAAGATCTGATAAATGAAATTAGACTTAAAATTAAACAGATATAAACAATCCAAATGCCGAAACAATCGAAATGACTGCTTCGTGATTTCTTACAAAATCCGAATTTATATGACGATGTGCGTCTTATACATATTTTCCACGGACGTAGAATAAAACTAAAACAAACAAGAATAAATATTAATATTAATGGCAACTTCACCGATTTCAATGACCTTGACATATTGTATCAAAAACATGGCTCTGACTAATTTGCAAAAAATTTTAGCCGATTGTTTATTAAAAAGCTATTAACAAAAAAAATTTCAAAAATAGAGTCTGTTTTTTCCCGGATGCAGAGTATATTTAAAAAATGTTTAACAGTACATATAAACAGGAGAGGGTTCCGTTCTTCCTTCACCCTGCATCTCTCCGCGAAAGAATCTAACCTAATTTAACCTAACTTAACCCAATTTATATATCTTTGCGTATGGTCTGTTGTACCATATAGCTATATATACTTCGAGATGAGCTAAAGGCACGGTGACTTAATTGATTACTACACCAGAAAAAAAAATATTTTTGCACATGGTTATGCAGTATTTAAAAGGTCCCCGGAAATTATACGTCACTGCTTAATATTTTTCAATGCACACTGTGTCGGAGAAAATAGACTCTATTTATAAAATTTATTTTACTAACACGTTCGCGACATTCGTTGAATCAATAAATCCATTGGTTCACTCTAAAGGACGCACAATTTTTTTTATTTTGCTATAATTCTCTGATCGACAAACCATGTTGCTAGTACATAGATACATTTCTCATGTAACCGTAGTTATGATATACAGAGATACACCGATACATACAGAGACTTTCAGAAGCAGTGCAATGCTTCATAGTGTGTGACTCACCGGTGGGTCACGATGTCGCGAACGTGTTAATTAACTTTCTAATAAACAATGAGCTAAAACTTTGCAAGTCAAAGTCATGTCCTTAACAACACACATCAAGGTCATTGAAATCAGTTAGGTCGCCAGTAATATTAATATTTACCGAAATAGATAAGCGTTTTCACCCTTGCTCAATGTATTTTTCCAAAGACCTGTCATTTCCATCGCTTCAGTAATCGAAAGTAAGATAAAATGCATATTAGCGCATTCGCAATATGTCCAGAATCAAGCCGCAAGGAGCGCCCAGGGATTCATCGGGACTCAGGATTGGTGAAGTAGTTGAGGTATAACGTTGAATTTCGCACTCACGTTGATGACGACCCTCTCGCAAAAGTCATGATCGTGCGGTATGGGCTCGAAGTGCGTGACTCCTGTGTATTGGGTGTGGGGGTTCGTCCCATCCTCGTCCTGGCTGCTGAGTTTCGGCAGCGATCTGCAATAATCAAAGTTGCCACGTCGTTAATAGCTCCCTGACTGCGTGCCGCGGGAGTTTTAGACCGCGTCATTATCCCGGTAGGGTCTCACACGCGATGCAGCCTTGCGAAGATCAGAGGAAGATTCGTAGATCATGTTCTAGATGAAAGAAGAAGAAACAGTAGAAGAAGAAGAAAAAGAAGAAGAAGAAGAAGAAGAGGAAGAAGAAGAAGAAGAAGAAGAAGAAGAAGAAGAAGAAGAAGGAGAAGAAGAAGAGGAAGAAGAAGAAGAAGAAGAAATTCGCGCACACGTGTTCATCTAAATAAAGCGGCGAGTTTACGCAATACGTCAAACTACGGCAGAGAAAGAGAGAACCGTAGCATAGCAGAATCTTATTTATCGAAACTCCTCGTAACTTCGCTACACTTCGAATCTAGGCGTGTCACTTTGGCGGAAGCTCTTCTCACGCATCTTTTGCCGTTTGAGATCATGTGACTTGACAAGTTTAACACTAAAATCACCAAGAAGCGGTCAAAATTACCGGCTTGTGATTTCTAACTAAAATTACCTGAATTTACATATAACGACAAGTTTTACACCTTTAACGGATGCTGAATAAGACTAAAAGAAACAAACGAACGTTCTCGCATAACGTATTTCTCTTCGAAAACCCGATTCATTTTCCGATCGCTTCGGCAAAAGAAAGTTGCATCAACCCTTTAACTGCTACGGTCGAGATAACTCGAGTGTGGAAAAAAATGGCGGTCTTGCTACGATCGAGTTTACTCGATTTAGACTTTCAATGTGTAATAATACCCATTTAATTTAGTTTGTAAAAAGCATTTGAATTGAGCGGGCATATAGTGCCATCTCTTATCATTATAAAATATTTTATAATTGTAAAAATAACTCAGCAAAGAGGGTCATACTGGTCATTTAATATCTCAGCAGTTAAAGGGTTAATTATCGCGTGGCTCCGGTGTTAATGCGTGTTTACATGTTAAATAGTGATTCGAAACGGCGAAAAACGCGTGGAAAAAGAGCTCCGGCCAGTTGCACGATCATGCGTGTAAAAATAACGCAGTTGAATTTTCGGTGTACCAGCGTTATTTTTTTTTTATCTCACCACACACACATACACGCGCGCGCGCGCACACACACCGAGATGCTCATGATGGCAATTCTTCTGCGCTATATTAGATAAGTAGGCTTTCGGTTTACCAGAAAGTGGTCCGGTCTTATTAATAGAACATCGGATAGACGCGCGCGTGGTATATGTGTCTACCAAACTATTTAGACACGCGACATTTCTACTGGCTAAGTCAAAATAGAAACGCACGATGCATATGCAATTCACTACGGTGGTCTCTACTGTGTTAATGCCTACTCGTTACTTAGCACTCTCCTCTAGCGGAGACTAGTGTGTGTCGTGCGATGTGTGTCGATAGTGTGTCGAACAATCGAGCGCGCGCCTCGCTCTCGACGATGGTAACGGATCGGAAATATGCGATTCTCGAGCTGAACGCCGAAGCGACAATCGGGAATTACGTCGGGCAGGCCGTCAGATACGTTAATTAATCTCTCGAGCGAGCGAGCGATGGAAACAGCGAGATTGAGAATTTTCAACGACTCAGCGAGAGTCCTTGGAGATAATTCTTTGCCTCGGCGCGAGAGTAAATATAACAAGTGAATAAATTCAGTTATCCCCCCGACACTTTTATGTACAGGTAACTATATACAAATAAGAATACTCCCTCCTCCTTTTTTGCTTTCTGCCTCCCTCCCTCCCTTCACGTCGACAAAACCGCGAATAATCAGAGAGTTGTATCGCGTATAATCGCATATAATCAGTGCGAATCGACCACGCATAGAGACACTTTGACAGCATATTTAGAGGTAGAGAGAATGAGGAGGTGTGACAGTCAGGACGTAGCCACCCCTGCAAGGGCTCGAAGGTCATCTCGCCCGAATGCCCTCGAGAAGCGGCTTTCATCTCGTAAAAATTCAGCCGGCCGGAACACCCCTTCGCGCGGCGATTTCGCGGCGGTGAATTAATACACGGCAATAATGCGCCAATGCTGCTTCCACCAAAGGCCATGCTGGAGAGTCATCCCCGATGAATCGGGGATGCTGTGCACACCCGCGATGCGCACTCGATAACGTCGAAGGCATGATTTAACAGCCGTGGACGTCGTAATTTTCCTCCTCGAGGGAAGCAAAAAGAACGCGCGCGGCACAGAACGAGTGAAAAAAATGCCGATACTCCGTCGAAGTGAAATATTATCATCGCGCAAAGGATGAGTCCGAAGGGGAGGTCGAGAATCGACCCGCAGCGTCGCGCTGCGCCGCAACGTCGCTGGGCGATCCTTGTCGCAGGATCGTCCGGGTGCTGCGTTCATGTTTTCGTAAAACATACGAGAACGGCGGTGTGACGGAAGTTCGCACAACGAACGGGGTCTCGGGAAAATTCTGCCGAGGCGATCGGCAAGGCGTTTGTTTCTTCTCGCTCCTCGGCGTCCCCAGAATCGATCTCAGACGAACAGTCCGACATACCGATGAAGTAAGAGCGGCAAAGGTCGTCCACAGCCGGCGCGAGACTTTACAAGTCGCCCGATTTAGAAGCGGGGATGCATCCAGTCGATATATCCGGCGGGAGTTACGTCGTTCGACGATTTATTTTGAGACGTCAATGGGAAGCCGATGCGTCGAGGGCAAACATCAATTTCGAAGTCGCTATACCCCGGACCGTGGCGATGGAAATAGCGCGACGTCTCCTGCGGAAATAGCGACTAACGCGAGCCCACACGACGATTGCCGCTGTCGGCACGTGCCGCCGTGAGAAAGAATCGCACGTGCGACAAATAGGCCAGCGACAACGACTGTGCTTGCACGATGTCTCAATAGTATCTCGCGCGCAAGAATAAAACGCGAGTGGAAAAACTCGCGTCGCACGGCGCGAAATACAAACTGGACTAAATGTCTAGCAGCCGGTAGTCTGCCAATTTCTGGCGCTCTTGCGCGGATCTTAGCAAGCAGATTTAAGATACATGGTATAATTTAAGAACCCAATAATAATAATAAATAATAATAATAAATAATAATTAATAGGCAATTAAGAAATCCCCATAACGGTTGATAAGCCCTGCCTTTACGGATTTGTCAGTATTTTAGAATTTTTCAAAGACAAACGAAGAGAGGGGAAAAGAGAATAATTTATTTTTAATATTGCATTGTTTCTGATAAAAGTATCATATATTCATTAGATTACACAGGCACATAAAAAAAAGTTGCTTATTCGCTAGACTACACCACCATACCTATGTGTTTTCGGGATCGCTGAATCCGAATCCGTTGTCCGTTTTACCCCATCACGTCGAATGACGATACTCCATGATTCGAATCAAACGTAAAGGAAAGCCACTCCATAAATCTTTTGAGAGTAAAAGAGTATGATACAATAGGAAAAAATGAATAGAGAATTGTAATATAATATATTTAGAGTTGAAAAGGAATTCTAACCTGTTAAGATTGATTCGACTTCAAAATTCAAATTTAATATCCCCAAAAACATAAGTGGTCTATTGTCTACAGATTTCAATCGCCAGTGTTCACAGTTCAGCTTCAAAAACGTTTCAACAAATTTTAACGATTCTGAAATATTTTTTGAGGTAGGAGATGAAACCTGATGTGATGGGGTGAAACGGACCACGGATTCGGATTCAGCGACCCCGAAAACATATAGGTATGGTGGTGTAGTCTAGCAAACAAGCAACTTTTTTTTGGTATGCCTGTGTTATGTACCACAATGATTTGTAATATAAATTGTAATTTCTATTGTAATCTGTTATTTAGAAAAAACGACAAGGCGCGAGAGAAGGAGAGGCGATAGTAATTAAATTATCGTACGAAATACAATGATTGTCACAACGATTAGATGCGACAATTGTTAACGACGACGCGTTGTTGCACGACGTGCTTTAAACGCGCGACATATAGTATTGCGTGCAATAGTCCGCAGTCCTGAGAATTGAAACAAGACTCAAATTATGACTTGAGGAAATTAATCTTCCAACAGGGCTCAATTAATGTAAGATACACGGAGACAGACACGCTACATCATTTTGGCATTTCAACAAGCGCGGGCTATTACAAATTACTTCACTCACGATGATTAGATAATAGACAGAGCATCAAGTCGCCGTTAAATTAACGTATCCGCGTATGCAAAAGACGCTAGACGCCAAGGAATTCCTTCCCACGAATTTCGGTGTCCTCTCTCGCTCTCTCACGAAGGGATTTCAAGCAGCGAATTTAAATTATCGACACCCGACGATATTTTTGAATTCATTCATCCTCGTCGCATTTCACTTTTTCGCGCAGTGACCGTTCTTACGGAATTTATTAATATTACCGAAGTTTCTCCGCAGTCTCGCCGTTCCGCCATCCCTCGCGCAATTTTAGAATTCTCGTCACTTTTTCAGGCGAATTCGCCGGAGAACAAGTTTACGGAACAAGAAGCGATTACGGAGTAACAAGTTTAAATCACCAATACCTATTAATAATGTAAAGCCGAGTGATGGAAAGCCTGATATTTATTAAAGATGGTTGCCCGTCAAGGGAAAAGCGCGAAAGGTGTCGGCCTCTAATTGGTAACGTGAATCTGGTCTTGTGATTACCTTCGACTGGGAACCAATACCATTTGTATAAAGAGTGCTGTTGGAGAGACAGAGGGTTAAGATGGGCTCATAAGCGACAGGAAGAAGCGAATTTATCATAAGGAAAAAGGAAGAAGCGCGAGAAACGATACCTATATTCTGCAATTATCGTATGCGCTGCGATTGCAGTACGACTGAGAGAAAAGTGATAGAACGCTATAAAGCCGCGATAATCTTACGTTCAACTCTCACCGATATTCATATCTCGCATAAAAAATTGCCAGGATTTTCCCAGATACAGCATATATTCCGATTACAATTCCCCAATTTATTCCAAAATTGATTAATGAAATTCTCATTCCTA